GAATCCAGATAACTTAAATTCACCATTCACCCACCCCTTGCTTTGAGTAATGCTTATATTGGCTATTTTTCTCAGGGCAACCAAGTTTTTCACTTTTTTCTTGTCCAAGGTTTCAGTTTAAATTCTATTATTTTCTTAATCTTTGTGATTTTGTTACATATTGGAAGCCAAATAATAGAATAAAATGCTGTTGATTCAAAATTTTGCTGTTCATTACAGAAGGACTAGGTGAAGTATATCCTTGTTAGAGTGGATGTTCATCATAATAATTTAATAGTAAGAGTGCTAGCTTTTTAACTAAGGTTAATTTTAGATTTATACATAAGAATGGAGTATTTCAACTACAGCAGATTGGAAACTCATCATATAAGTGACCTGCTAAGTTGGAAGATATCTGACCCCATTTAAATTCTAACCTTATGCCTTTACATTTGTACATCTCTAAGTTAAAAGAAAAAAGTTTTAATTATCAACTCCTGACTTAAAGTATAGTAACTATCTTCCTTACTTCCAGCATAGGTTTATATAGATTCTTCTTATTTCAATTTGATAACAAAAATGTACTATAATAGTAAGTAATTATTAAATAGGTAAGCAAGTATAGATCATTTTATATTTGTGCTCATTCTTATCTTCAAATATCCTAAAATGAAAACTCAGTACTGGTATAACCATACATTTTACAAAAATAAATGCTATTTTATTAATTAAAAGGACAAGGAACATCAAAAGAGAGTTTAAATAGTAAAGTAGAAATGACTCTTGGTGGGTCATCCTTGCTGGTTCCAAATTAGAAAACGTTCTATAGATCCAGTGATTTAATTTCCAACATGTTAGAAAAGGATGAGTTTTAGAGATGGTTTTGTTTCAGTTCCCCTGATGTAACAGATAAGAAAATATGGCATCACATATATTAAGCTATTTAAATACTGAAATTCTGAATCCATTGCTTATGTTCCATTTCTTAAGGACTATTTTATGCCCTTGTAACGGTTAATGTGACTATGTGTAATTACCCACTAAAATAGAATCCTGTGTGTGAAGATGTGGCATTATGTGCTTGCCCCAAAGATTCCTCAGCGAGTATTTAAGATGGCCTATAAGCTCCACAGGGCCTGCAATAATTTCTGTTTTGCTCATTACTAAGAATACAGATACAAACAGTCTCTGTTGAGTAAAAATTGAATATGTGTCTGGATGAGTGAAAATATGGCCACTGTTTTTGTTGTTTTAGATTCTTTGTTATCTCTTTCCTCCACACTCCCCTAGATTTTCATACCCTTCTCTACTAGCTGTTCCCCCAGTCTGTGGAAGGAGGGCTGGATGAGCCTGGATTCTGTAGATGGGCTGACAAGTGGCCAAGAAAAGTGCAGCTTTGGCCACAAGGAGGCACAGTGGCTCTATTGACACATGTGAGGCTGGGGTGTGTGGTAAAGGGGCTGGGAGTGGAGGGATAGAGCGAAGAGGGAAGTGAAGACATTGGGCTCCATCCTTACATCAGTTGGGGCCATCAATTTTAGACTTTGCAAAGATACTAAACTAGTCATTTTCTGAATTAAATTGATGGTCCCTTGTCTTGCATTGGATGCCTAGTGTTGCTCTTGCTGCAATCTGTTTGCTCTAGGTAAATCCAGCCAAGATCAGCACCCTCAATTATAGGGAATGAGGGTGGCTTATCCCTTGGATGGTGCCCCCATCTCTTCACGGGGTCTGACACCTGCAGGTTCATAGTTCTACTAGTCAGAAACAGGCCCTGGTGCAGGGTGGAGGCACGCCCTCCAGGGACCTGGGCCAAAGCCTCCATCACACTTGGGCACTGAGACCGCGGAATGCTCTCCCTGTGAGAAGGGTGTTTGGAAGGACACATGGAGACTCTCTATGAGGAGGGCAGCTAGTAGTAAAAGAGCAACTGTCAGAAGAATACCCCAGCCCATTCGCTACAAATCCACCGTCTATCAGCATCTATATAAGGCCCGAAAGGGGTTGGGAAGCCGTGAGACATGGTGACATCACAGGCAAAACCACCAACCAAGGCCAAGGAGGCCAGAGCCCAGCCCCCTGACCAGGACATCCTAGTTAGAGGGAGGCCCCAGCCCTGACTCTGCCATGGGCTGCAGGCTGCTCTGCTGTGTGACCCTCTGTCTTCTGGGGGCAGGTAAGTCTGGGGTTCAGGGGGCTGTCCTCAGACTCCGAGTCATTTCCCTGTGGCTGCAGCCATCTCCTTCTTCGGGGGTTTTGTCTAAATTTTGTCCCTTTGCCAATAGTCCGCATGGACCCTGAAGTTACTCAGACACCAAAGCACCTGGTCATGGGGATGAGAACTAAGGGGACCCTGAAGTGTGAACAACACCTGGGCCACAACGCCATGTACTGGTATAAGCAGAATGCAAAGAGACCACCGGAGCTCATGTTTGCCTACAGTTATGAAAAAATGACCGGAAACAACACCGTGCCCATTCGCTTCTCACCTGACAGCCCACACAGGACCCGCTTAGACCTTCGCCTGGACTCCCTGAAACCAGAAGACTCCGCCCTGTATCTGTGCGCCAGCAGCACCCACACAGCCACACAGCCAGCTCCTCCCCATGCACAAACCTCCTGCCCCCAGCCAGGAAGCCCTGGGGGCCCCGAGGCTCAGAAGCCTTTCCCACTGGGTCCCATACAGATGTCACCCCCACACACCACCTGTTGGCTCAGGGGCACCCCCACAGGCAGCGACAGCTGTGGCCTGGCTGGGTCTTGACAGCACTGGGCCTGAGGGTGAAGGCAGGACAGGCAGGTTCAAGTTCAAGTTCCCCCAGGCATCCTCCATCGGCCTGGAGCTCTGGTGAGACTCCGCTGTGCCTCAGCAGCCCTCCTGCCTCCTTCCACAGGGACCCCCGACTGCTCTTTCCATCCAGGTTACACCCGGTCTCAGCCCCAGCCCCACCTCCCAACATACTCCACATTTTTCAAAACGCACCCCCTGACCCTGGCTCCTCACGGAGGAGGAGGCCCCCCATCTGGTTTGGGTCTCTGGATCCCTCTCTCTGCCGCACAGCTGGGGTCTCGGGTCCTCACTGGCTTCTCTTCCTCTGGAGCTTGAACACTTTCAGGCTTAGCTCTTTTCCTCCCGCCTCTTTGATGCTAATTCTTGGGGTCTTCAGCTCGTGCTGTAGCAGCCAGACAGCTGCTGGCTGGATGGGTGCTCACCACGGCGGTGGAGAGAGGGAACCTCTGACGTTGATCTGAAACGCAGGTCTAGTTCTCAGAGGGTCTGTGTGTGGTTACATTATGTCTGCCCCCGCTGGAGGCATCCAGGGCACCCGGGGTTTGAACATTTTACAGCCACACGAAGGCTCCCCCTGCAGTGGGGGTGCTCCCGAGTCTCAGGGTGCCATCTGAGATGGTGATGTCATCGCACCTGCCCTGACCTTACTGACCCGCTGCTCGCTGAGAGATGCGTCAGCTCCCCCGGCCCTCCATGGACCACCAGCTCCTATGCTGGGTGCTCTGTGCTCCCGGGAATAGGTGTGAGAGATCCCCACCCTCCCTTCCCTACGGCAGCTTAGACTTCACCCCCTTCTCTTGCTGGCCTCTGCCTCTTCCCACAGGACAAATGGAGCCTGGTGTCCGCCCATGCCCTCCCTGGCCACCAGATTGCAGAGATGGGGCAGAGCGTGCCTCTGAGGTGTGACCCCACTTGTCATCATCCCTATCTCTACTGCTACCAACAGACCCTCTAGAAAGAGAATGGAGTTTCTGGTTTCCTTCTATGACAGGATTTCTTTAGGGAAGGCCAACTTTTTCAAAGATAGATTCCTGGCTGAGACGGGGAGGGGTTGTTCTGCTTGCCGAGGATCCAGCAGGTGCAGGGGAGGGCTGAGCGGAGGGATGGGGGTAAGGCTGGCCACGTACCCCTGAGCCAACAGCTCAGCCATAGCCTCTCAGGGACACTCCCTGCCTTCACACACACCTGGCAGCTTCTAGACTCTCTGCAGCTTTCCTGCCTCAGGGCGCTGGGCTGTGGATTGGGCCCAGTTAACTCATTTGTGGAATAGGAGGGTTGAGCGGGGTCTGGGCTGTGGCCCCCTGGATAGTATTTCCAGGATGGATTCAACTGAGATCATCTGACTGTTTATTTTTATGGCCTGAATTATATTGGCTTGTCTTTGCCACATTAGCAGAAGAGTGCAAAAATATAAAAATTATTACCTTCTTAATCCATTATTGGTTGATTCAATCTTTGCTTCCACTGGCTGAAGTGGATGAGATCCATTCCAAATCAGTCAGGTCGGAAGGATGAGTGTGTGTGTGTGTGTGTGTGTGTGTGTGTGTGTGTGGTGTGTGAGTGTACTGGCAGTTGAGAGTGAGACAGAAGGGTGGGTGGGGTTAATATGGGGGACAGTCCCATAGGTGGGGGTGGGAATTTCTGTTATGATTTATAGACAAGAATCCCTGTGTCTGTGGCAATGACCACTGGGAGGCGCTGTGGGACCGCAGATTTGCAGGTGCTGTGGGGGGAGGGCAGTGCCCAGAAGGCCCAGTGAAAAGGAGTCTTGGCCACATGCCTGTGTCAGGGAGGGGGACTGAGTCACTGCGAGTCCCAGGACACCTGGATCCACACAGACTCCTCTGCCCAGGAAGTAGACAGGGATCTTGACCTCAGCCTGTACCAAGGATGCAGTTCGCTGCACCTGCACAGGAAGTAGAGGCTGAAGGAGTTGGGAGTAACTAGAGGCAGGAGGGACAGGCAGAGGAGAAAGGGTGTTTGAGGGCACATGGAAAGGGGTGCAACCCACACCCACCCACGTGTGGGCTGTGCATACAGGGCATGGACGGAGAGTGACCAGCCTTGGACCCTGCTAAAGGTGCAGCAGGCCAGGGGAGTCCTGCAGGGAGAGGAACAGCAGAGCAGTGACGTCACAGCAGTGACATCAGCAGCAAGTGCCCAGTCAGGGCCCAGGAGGTGACTAACTCAGACCCCCCTGAGCCAGGAGCTGCCAGGGCCTGAGGCCACCATGGGCTCCAGGCTCCTCTGCTGTGTGGCCCTTTGTCTCCTGGGAGCAGGTGGGTCCTGGCACCCTGGGGAGCCTGGGAGGGGCTCAGCTACCTGCTGACCAGCCTACCCTGGTGATGGTTGAGCAGAGGCTTCCCCTGGCTCTGCCTTAGCTCCTGTGTGTCTCCTCCCACAGGCCCAGTGGACTCTGAAGTCACACAGAACCCCAAGTATCTGGTCACAATGAGAGGACAGAACGTGACCCTGAGATGTTCCTATAAGACTGGACACCTCGCTGTGTACTGGTACCAGCAGGCCCCGGGCCAGGGCCCCGAGTTCCTGGTTCGGTGTTATAATGGGGAAGAGAAAGAAAAAGGAAGGAACTCTGACCGGTTCAAAGCTGGGCAGTTCAAAAGCAATAGTAGCCCTGAGCTGAATGTGAGCCTCGTGGAGCTGGGAGACACGGCCCTGTATCTCTGCGCCAGCAGCAAGGCACAGCCCTACAAGAGCAGCAGCCCAGAGCACAAAAACCCTCCAGCCCAGCTCAGGAAGTGAGGGGGAGGGCGGGGCTGGGGCAGGAGGCTCAGCCCTGGGGGCAGGACAGTGTCTCTGGGGCTCTTGCATGACACAGAAAATGAAAAGGCAAGAATGGATGAATGGATTACTCTTTACATGTCTGCACAGAGGTCACCTTCCCAGGCCCACATTTCAAACCGTGGAACAACACATCAACCTCACGTCTGTTCCTCAACACCTGCCCCAAACCCCACCCCATACACCTGGCCCCCATCTGGCTTCCTCTGCCAGGTCCACATTAGCAGGACTGGGCAGCTCATGCTTTCATATGGATATTCACAACCTCCACCCTGAAAACTCCAAGGAACATGGGACATCAGGATCAGAAAGTCTCATCGATCCTTCCTTGTGACAGAGAAGAAACACAGGCTCCTGTACTGCAGCCTGGAGCGGATCAGCTGGCACCCGGATCTGCTGGCACCTGTGTGGGCAGGAGCCCCCAAGGGTGCCCTTCCAGCAGCAGAAATGGAGCATGATGTTTACAAGGGAAGTGCAGCAACATAATAACATACCCATGGGGCTCATTACACTCCTTTATGCAACATTTTTACATCCCTAATTTTATACAAGATGCTGTAGCACATAAAATAAATAATGAAAATAAGTGTTTCTTGGCTTTAGAGTTTTAGGGTCTGCACTGCTAAATGCTCAGTACTTACCCGAACTATCTGACTCTTCCTACTAAGTCCCCAGCCGTGCTGGTGCAGACCCACTGCGGATGCACATGCTGAGAACAGTAACTGCTTTCCTGGGTCAAGACGTTTCAGGTAGAAGACTCAGAAGATACTGACGCTGGAGCTCAGTAATAATTTTCTGCATAGCACAAAGGTATTCAACTAAAAATGTCAATGAACAGAGTGAAACAAGAGGCAGATGCAGTGACTGCTTCCATTTTAAAGAAGAGGAAACTGGATTGTAACTTAAATAACGTGATGGAATCCAGTATGCACTAGGGTGCAGAAGGGAGAAATAAGTTGAGCTCCCGTCACCCTGCTGCGTGGCCTTCAGTCTCTTGGGGCAGAAAATCCTGGACACAGACATGGAACCCACTCCCGCCCAGGTCAAGGTCCGAGACATGGTTACAGCATCAGGGGCCTCCTCAGTTTCTGCTTCAGTGTCTGTCCTTCATGCCAGCCCTGGGGGTGCTGCCTCGCCCAGACCCGGGCCCTGTGGTTTTACCCTGGACTGAACATCAGGAGACTCAGATTAGAAACAGGAATCATGTGAGCCCAGGCCAGTGTCCCGGGTCAGTGACTTACAAGAAACAGCACAATGAGTGTGAACTGTTGAAGCTCCTGCCCTGGGGCTTGGGACCAGACAGCAGGGGACTCTGGGGGTGGAAGGACAGGAAGGATGGGCCAGACTTAAATTTCAAACAGAATAGTGGGAGCAGCTGGGACACAGGAGTCATAAAAACCACCAGGATCACATCAGGATTTTCCTACAAGAGAAACTACAGAGAATCTAGATGAGAATGTCAGTGTACTGTGAAGAGTTACAGCATAGGAAGGAAATCTACATGCAGCTATCAACTGACTGACGGAGAGTTCAGACCCCTTGGGAGCCCTGGATTCAGATGCTGCTCCTCCCACTCTGAGCTGCTCTGGACACTTGTCATTGGAGCCCAGGGAGGGGCGTGGCCCTGTCACAGGTTGGCCCTGGGCCAGGAGGCCTGTGACATCTCACAACACTCCCTCACAGCCCCACTCCCTTCTCATCAGCACCCACAGCACCAGCACCCTCAGTCTCCTATCTCTGCCATGAGCGTCCCCCTCCTGTGCTGGGGGGTTTGGCGTCTCCTGCAGGCAGGTGAGTCCTGGGCGGGGCCCCTGTCCTGGCCTTGACACGGTCAAGGCCTCAGTTCTCGGCCTCTCCATTGTGTCTGTGGCTCCATCAGCTTCATCTCCTTGTGCACAGGTGTGGTGAAGGCTGGGGTCTCTCAGAGCCCCAGATTCCAGATCCTGAAGACTGGACAGAGCAGGAACCTGAGTTGTGTCCAGGATATGGGACACAACTCCATGTACTGGTATCGCCAGGACCAGGGACTCGGGCTGAGGCAGATCCATTACTCAACGGGTGCTAATAGCATCGCCAGTGGAGTCATCCTCCAGGGGTACAAGGTCTCTAGACCAAACAAAAACAACTTCCTGCTCACGCTGGAGTCTGCCACCACCTCCCAGACAGCTGTGTACTTCTGTGCCACCAGCTATGCACAGCGCTGCAGTCTCGCCTCCTCTCTGCACAAGAAGAAAGGGCCCTGCACCCCGGGAAACAACACAGCCCTTTGCAGCCTCTGAGCTCAGGGAACCCTGCAGTAAAGGGGTCCTGCAGGAGGTGTGAACCCAGTTGAGTGAGTCACACCTGTCCCAGGTGAATGGTCCCCCAACAGTGATACTTGGATCATATTTCCAGACCCTAACTAGGAAATTTCTCAATTGAGGGGGCACACAGACTCCCCCATAGGCAGTGGGGGGCTCTGTCTCTTCGTGAGCTTCTGTGATACTGGAGTAGTCTGGACATCAGGAGTCCTGGACAGAGTGAGGGGCCAGTGGAGACAGCAGGATGAGACCTTGTCTCAGACACACCCTTGGCTCAATTCTTGGCCTTTTGGACTCTAGCAGGGGAATCGCCCTCAGGGATAGTCGCTCATCTCCTCTAGATCAAGAGGAGCTGCGTTTGGAAACAGGTTTTCATGGCCTGCATCTCTGCACGGTGTTTTCCACCATCACATCCTAATTGCAGTGGTGTAATAATCACTCCCTTCTTACCCAAAATGCTGGTTCATACAATGAGTTCACAAAATCTCAGGGTGGAGTTAAAGATCAGCCTTAAGGCAGCCAGGCTGAGAGGGCAGTAAATGGAGAGCTGGGGACCTGGTTGGAGGAGGAATGTCTGCTCTGATTCCCTCACAGGAGGGGAATCCATGAGCCTGGGGACCTGTGACCACAGGGAGGCGCTGTGGGCCCACAGATGTGGGTTACACCAGAGGGGGAGACAGTGAGGAGGTCCCATCAAAGGGGAGTCTTGGCACATGCCTTGTCAGGGAGGGATCTGAGTTGCTAGAAGTTCATTGAACACCTAGAGCCAGAGATACTCCCCTGCCCAGGGATGTAAACGTGGGCCTTGACCTTAGTCAGCACCAAGGAGGCAGCTCCCTGCACCTGCACGGGAAGTGGAGGTTAAGAAGTTGGGGGACAAGGGATGGGAAAGTAGCAGCAGGCAGGACAGGCAGAGGGGAAGGGGTGTTTGTGGGCATATGGGGAGGGGCTGAGCCCACACCCACCCACATGCGGGCTGTGCAGACAGGAATGGACAGAGAGTGACCAGCCTTGGGCCCTGCTAAAGGTGCAGCAGGCCACGGGAGACCTGCAGGGAGAGGAACAGCAGGGCAGTGATGTCACAGCAGTGACATCAGCGGCAAGTGCCCAATCAGGCCCAGAGGTGACTAACTCAGACCCCCCTGAGCCAGGAGCTGCCAGGGCCTGAGGCCACCATGGGCTCCAGGCTCCTCTGCTGTGTGGCCCTTTGTCTCCTGGGAGCAGGTGGGTCCTGGCACCCTGGGGAGACAGGGAGGGGCTCAGCTGCCTGGTGACCAGACTGCCCTGTTGATGGCTGAGCAGACTCTTCCCCTGGCTCTGCCTCAGCTCCTGTGTGTCTCCTCCCACAGGCCCAGTGGACTCTGAAGTCACGCAGAACCCCAAGTATCTGGTCACAGCGAGAGGACAGAACGTGACCCTGACATGTTCCTATGAGACTAAAGACCAGTATGTGTGCTGGTTCCAGCAGGCCCTGGGCCAGGGCCCCGAGTTCCTGGTTCAGTATTATGGTACAAAAAAGCAAGAAAAAGGAAGTCTCCCTTAATGATTCAAAGTTGAGCAATTCAAAGACCATCGCTCTGAGCTCACCACGATACCCGTGGAGCTGGGGAACGCGGGTCTGTATCTCTGTGCCAGCAGCTTGGCACAGCCCTGCAGGTGCAGCAGCCCAGAGCACAAACACCCTCCTGCCCAGCTCAGGAGTGAGGGTGAGGGTGGGGACTGCATCAGGAGGCTCAGCCCTGGGGAAAGACACAGAAATCACTAAATATGACTTTGATTATTTATTCCCCTGCAGGAAGTGTCCTGAGCAGGCTGCTCCTGTCACTTTGGCTTCATGGCTCCTTCCAGTCCCGGGTTTGCTACTCCCCGATACCCAGGACAGAGCTGGGCCCACGGACCCGGCAGCCCCCCAGGACCCTCAGATGAGAAACGCAAGGTCAGGCCACAGACTGGCTTCATGATCTGTGGGCCCCAGGTGCAAACCTGATTCACAACATGAAGGGCACGGCCACAGATTTCGGTCGGCGCAGGCCCTCTAAGGAGGCCCCAGAGCACCTGTGAGCCCCACTTTTGCATCACTCAGTGCCAGTAGTTCCCATGAGGAGACATTCCTGTGGCATGGGATGACCCAAGGAAAAGAGAACATTTCCCTTCACCCTGGAGTCACCCTCCCCGGCTGTGCTCCTGGGTCCTGTGAGCTCTGAGCACCCACTGTCTCCCCAGGGATGGGCAGTGACATGTGAGGTGTGTCTGCTGCTGCTGCCCCTCCACGCACTGGGCTGGGCTCCGGGCAGGACAGTCTCCAGCTGCCCTGGTCAGTGTCCATGTCAGGGACTTGACAAGAAACAGAGAAAAGGGTGTTGTCATGAAATGCTAATGGCCCCGCCCTGAGCTGTGGGATCAGACAGCAGGGGAATCCCTCCCAGGGGAAGGTCAGTGACAGGATGAGTCTCTCTTGATCTTCAAACAGTATATTGGGAGCATCTGGGACAAAGTTCATAAAAATTACCAGGATAAGAGCAGGATTTTTTTCTAAAGGTGAATTTACATGAATGGAGTCAGTTTGTTGTGATGCATCACACCATGGAAGTGAAATCTACGTGAAGCTGTAAGCTGACTGAAGGAGAGTTCAGACCCTTGTGACACAGCATGGATTCAAATGATGCTTGTCTCACACTGAGCTGCTCTGAACATTTGTCATTGGAGCCCGGGGAGGGGCGTGGCCCTGTCACAGGTTGGCCCTGGGCCAGGAGGGCTGTGACCTCTCACAACACTCCCTCACAGTCCTGCTCCCTTCTCAGCACCCACAGCCCCAGCACCTCAGTCTCCTGTCCCTGCCATGAGCGTCCCCCTCCTGTGCTGGGGGGTGTGGGGTCTCCTGCAGGCAGGTGAGTCCTGGGCGGGGCCCCTGTCCTGGGGGACAAGGTCAAGGCCTCAGTGCTCAGCCTCTCCGCTGTGTCTGTGGCTCCATCAGCTTCATCTCCTTGTGCACAGGTGTGGTGAAGGCTGGGGTCTCTCAGAGCCCCAGATTCCAGATCCTGAGGGCAGGACAGAGCAGGAACCTGAGTTGTGTCCAGGATATGAACCACGACTACATGTACTGGTATCGCCAGGACCGGGGACTTGGGCTGAGGCTGATCCACTACTCAATCCGCAATGAGATATACAAGGGAGACATCCCCGATGGGTACAAGGTCTCTAGACCAAGCACAGCCAACTTCCTGCTCACGCTGGAGTCTGCCACCACCTCCCAGACAGCTGTGTACTTCTGTGCCACCAGCTATGCACAGCGCTGCAGACTGACCTCCTCTCTGTACAAGAAGGCAGGGCCCTGCACCCCGGACTCATCATGCCCTTTGCAGACCCAGAATAGGGAACCCAGGAGCCCTGAGGCCCTGGGCATTGTGAATCCAGGTGATGAGTCACACCTTGCATGCCTCTGGGTCAGCTGTGTCCTTGGTTACTGGTGATCATGCTGGGCTCAAAGGCCTCGCTTCTCCTTCGCTGAGATGGGAATTTTCTTTTGCTTCTCTGCTTGTCCTTGATGGGAGTTGATGTCCTCTGTGATCTGTTGACTCATCAAAGTGGCATCCAAGGTGAAGACCAGCCTGCCCTCAGGGGGGTGCCGGTGACTCTGCCCCTCATGAAGGCCGTGCCCCAACCAGGAAACTGCAAAACCCAAACACACCTACAGGATGGTGGACATTCCCTGACTGTCTGACCAGTCACCACCCTGATCCCTTCAGACTCTTAGGCCACCTCTGCCATGTCCAGTGAGGCCCGAGGCCGGGCCTCCTATGCCCGGGATGGACATGCGCTCTGATCCGCGTCTCGCAGTCCTTTCTTCCCCTGATCACGTCCCTCCAGCGGGTTAAGTCGGGACTCAAACAACATGCTCGTCTACTGACATGAGAGCCCGGGCCTCAGAGGGAGAGAGATTTTACTCTGAAAGACTCGGAAATAAATAGTAAACTATAACTTTTGCCCCTGCTCGTCTTCATTCACTGATCACAAGCAATTCTCTGATGCAAGGACTGTACATGGAGTTTCACACTCAGGTCCTGGCCTCCCAGCCTGAGCTCCCGTGTGTGAGCGTGAGTGAGCACGAGGCAGAGAGAGTGTGTTAAGAGCTTGCATAGAATGTTCTCTTGTGGGACAAGCATCTGTGCATTGGTCCATATAAGCCTTACATCTCTGGTATGGGAATTTATAATGTAAAATATATAAAATATAAAATCTTCTAATGTAATGCTGATAGTGAGACTCATCACCCAGGTTAGGAATAGGATATAAAAGAAAAGAACAAGGATGTCTAAAGGTTAAGGGATTTAGATACAAGGACTCTAGTGCTCGCTGCATGTGTTAGTTTGGCTGACACATTTTAAGACTTCACAAAATCAGAAATTATGTGTAAAATATATAAATCCTCTCTAAAACTGCTGTATCTAACACTCAGGAATAACTAGTAAAAAAAATGAGGAAATATTTAGATTTCATGAATCAGGAGGAGCTGTGGTTAGAACCAAGTTGTTTTTGTGGCTGGTCCATCACAGACTATTTGTCCATCATCACATACTAATTGCAAAGATATAAAAATTACTCCCTTCTAAATCGAAATGCTGGTTCATACACCGACTCACACAAGCTATGGTGGAATTAAAGGTCAAACTTAAATCGTCAGCTGGGGAGCAGTAAAATGGAGAGCTGGGCACCTGGCTGCTGGGGGACTGTCTGCTCTGGCTCACACACCAGAGAGGAATCCATGGGCCTGAGGACCTGTGGCCACTGGGAGGCGCTGTGGGCCCAGGGATGTGGGTTACACCAGAGGGGGGAACAGTGTCCAGGAGGGCCCAGCTGAAGGGGAGTCTTGGCCACATGCCTTGTCAGGGAGGGGGAAGGAGTCGCTGGAAAGTCCCAGAACACCTGGAGCCACAGAGACTCCCCTGTCCAGGGTAGTAGATGTGGGCCTGGACCTCAGCCTGCACCAAGGAGGCAGCTCCCTGCACCTACACAGGAAGTAGAGGTGGAGGAGTTGGGGGCCAAGGGTTGGGAAACTAGGGGCAGGTAGGGCAGACAGAGGAGAAGGGGTGTTTATGGCATAGGGGGAGGGGCTGAGCCCACACCCCCCCACATGCGGACTACGCAGACAGGGCATGGACAGAGAGTGACCAGCCTTGGGCCCTGTTAAAGGCGCAACAGGCCAGGGGATTCCTGCAGGGAGGGGAACAGCAGGGCAGTGACATCACAGCAGTGACATCAGCAGCAAGTGCCCAATGGACCCAGGAGGTGATTAACGCAGACCCCCCTGAGCCAGGTGCTGCCAGGGCCTGAGGCTACCATGGGCTCCAGGCTCCTCTGCTGTGTGGCCCTTTGTCTCCTGGGAGCAGGTGGTCCTGGCACAATGGGGAGCCCGGGAAGTGCTCAGCTGCCTGGTGACAAGCCTGCCCTGGTGATGGCTGAACAGAGGCTTCCCCTGGCTCTGTCTCAGCTCCTGTGTGTCTCCTCCCACAGGCCCAGTGGACTCTGAAGTCACGCAGAACCCCAAGTATCTGGTCACAGTGAGAGGACAGAACGTGACCCTCACATGTTCCTATGAGTCTGGAACTGTCTGTGTACTGGTACCAGCAGGCCCCTGGCCAGGGCCCTGAGTTCCTGGTTGAATGTTACAATGGGAAAGAAAACAACAAAGGACACAGACCTGGCTGATTATCAGTTAAGCAGTTCACTGACCATCGCTCTGAGCTGAACATGAGGCCCGTGGAGCTGGGGACGCGGCCCTGTACCTCTGTGCCAGCTGCTTGGCAAGCCCCGCAGGTCAGCAGCCCAGAGCACAAACACCCTCCTGCCCAGCTCAGGAGTGAGGGTGAGGGCGGGGCTGGGGCAGGAGGCTCAGCCCTGGAAGGACTAAAAGGAAGGTCACAGCTTTCAGCCCCATGGCCTGCAGGCGCCTAGGACACGTGACCTCCGCGGAGGTGTGTGAGCAGGATGCTTTAATGAAATTTCAGCCCAGAAGGGGCGTCCACACAGCGCGTGCGTGCGCTGTCCTGAGGCAGTGACTCTGAGGCAAGGTCCTCAAGGGCTGATACTCATTCATTGCTTCCTTTCATTGCACAGTTTTGCATCATTAATTTTTTGCTGTGTCTCCATCCAAGAGCAAATGAGAATAACCATGGTCTTGCTGTAGATGTAAGGGCTGTCATGTGAAATGTGCCCGACAGTCATTTAATGTCTGACGTCGCAAGGAAATCACCTGTCAGGGGAGAGGCACGTTCACTGCTAAACTGTGATATTTCCAGGTAAAAGCAGCATGGGGGGAAAACCGCACGTCACTGACCCTTGCCTGTGCCCCTGAAATGCCTTCATCATCAATAAAACTTCAGTTTTTTACACAACCTGAAGACAAATGTAATACCTTTCTCCCTCCACACAGAACCATTAGGGATTAGCCCTTGAAATAGACAAAGTGACCAAAAGCAACAGCCCTTAGGATGCAGGGGGAGGGGCCCATTACTGGCCCGTGGGCTCTAATCCCGTGTTGGAAACTCTCCCCTGTGATGCATTAAATAAAGGGACATTCCTTCCTTCAGGATCTGACCTTCCAGAGGAGGTGCTCTAGTGACATGGGTGACTGATGAGCTCCCCGGGACACTGAGTGCAGAGGGGAGCCCCCTCCTGCTCTGGCCTTGTTGCTTCCAGTCCCCTGCTGCGTGTCCTCCGTCCTGGGCAGAGTCCTGGGCACCGACAGGGACCCCCTGGTGTTCCAGGCCACAGGCCAGAGCCTGGACTTGAGTTTCCAACATCAGGCTCCTCCTGTGATTCTGGGCTCAGGGTCTGTGTCCTTCTCTTGGCCCCTGGGACGCTGACATCTCACACCCAGCACGGGAGCTGGAGGCCCAGGGACCCGGCACACCCGCAGGACCTCAGAAACACAAGGTCACGGCCTCAGCACTGGTTGCATGGTGTGGGGCCGAGGCTCAACCCTGATTCAGAACATGGAGGTCAGGCCGCAGATCTGAGCTGACCCAGGTCCTCTGAGGTCGGGATTCCGTTTTGTCACCCCCGTCCATTTATCAGTCAGTGACAGCGGTTCTGCAGGTAGATGCCCCCATGACATGGGATGTTCCAGATGAAAAGAGAACATTTTCCATCTCCCTGGATCTGCCCTTCCTCTGAGCCCCTCCCCACCAGTGCTCCTGGGCAGGACATCCTGTGAGCTCTGAGCACCCACTGATCCCCCAGGAAGGAGAGTGACCGGCTGGGTATATCTGTGGCCACTGCCACTCCACAAATGGTGCAGGGCTCTGGGGCAGGATGGTCTCCAGCTGCCGGGCCAGTGTGCCAAGTCAGTAATCTGTAAGAAACAGCTAAACGTGGGCCTCCCCGGTGGCACAGGCGGTTGAGCGCAGCACTGTGAAGCTGGCCGCAGCCTCTGCAGTGTGGGTTCAATCCCTGGCAGCTGGGGAGCTACCCACATGGCACAGCAGACCTCTCCTGTCTCACCCGCTGCTCCCCTCAGCAGGGTATTTCAGTCAGTCTGTCTGTTCTGTTGCCCATTCTGTTCTGTCTCTGGTGAATCCTCTTGCTCTACCGCGCATCTGGCCTGTACCCCGGTTCTTGTATGCATGAATAAATGAATCTTTAAAAAAAAATAGAAACAGCAATATGAGCCTGAAATGTTGACGATCCTACCCTGGGGTTTGGGGACCAGACAGCAGTGCCAACACTAAAGACTGAAGGACAGAAGCAGGACCGGGTCACTGGATGCCAGAAAAAAATCTTGGATTATTTGGAACTCACCAGCCATAGCTCACATCAGGATCCAACAAACATTTTTACTAAGTTTTAAAGATGTAAATATAATGAGACCAATGTGATGTGAAGAATAATATCATTGTATTTATATACATATATATATGTTTATATATATACACACACATAAACTTTCACACTGATTTACAAAGAGTTGAGCAAAGATTAACACTTCGGTCATTTAGGAAAACACTCTCCACTCGGAGCTGCCCTGGACACTTGTCATTGGAGCCCGGGGAGGGGCGTGGCCCTGTCACACGTTGGCCCTGGGCCAGGAGGGCTGTGACATCTCACAACACTCCCTCACAGCCCCGCTCCCTTCTCAGCACCCACAGCCCCAGAACCCTCAGTCTCCTGGCCCTGCCATGATCATCGCCTTACTGTGCTGGGGGGTCTGGGGTCTCCTGCAGGCAGGTGAGTTCTGGGCGGGGCCCCTGTCCTGGGGGACACGGTCAAGGCCTCAGCCGCTCTGTTGTGTCTGCAGCTCCATCAGCTTCATCTCCTTGTGCACAGGTGTGGTGAAGGCTGGGGTCTCTCAGACCCCCAGATTCCAGATCCTGAGGACAGGACAGAGCAGGAACCTGAGTTGTGTCCAGGATATGAACCATGAGTCCATGTACTGGTATCGCCAGGACCCGGGACTCGGGCTGAGGCTCATCTATTACTCATATATTGTTGGATCCAAGGACAAAGGAGACTTCCCCGATGGGTATAATGTCTACAGACCAAAAAAGCAGAAGTTCCTGCTCACGCTGGAGTCTGCCTCCCCCTCCCAGACATCTGTGTACTTCTGTGCCAGCAGTGATGCACAGTGCTGCAGGCTCACCTCCTCTCTGCACAAGAAGGAAGGGCCCTGCACCCCGGGAAACAACAGAGGCCTTTGCAGACTCTGAGCTCAGAGAACCCTGCAATAGGGGGGTCCTGCAGGAGGTGTGAACCCAGTTGAGTGAGTCACACATGTCCCAGGTGAATGGTCCCCCAACAGTGATACTTGGATCATATTTCCAGACCCTAACTAGGAAATTTCTCATCGAGGGGGCACACAGACTCCCCCATAGGCAGTGGGGGGCTCTGATTCTTCATGAGCTTCTGTGATGCTGGAATAGCCTGGACACCAGGAGCTCTGGTCAGAGCGAGGGGTGAGCGGAGATATCAGGATGAGACCTCGTCTCAGACACACCCTTGGCTCAATTCTTGGCCTTTTGGACTCTAGCAGGGGAATCGCCCTCAGGGACAGTCGTTCATCTCGTCCATGATCAGGAGGAGCTGCATTTGGAAACATGGTTTTCATGGCCTGCATCTCTGCACGGTGTTTTCCACCATCACATCCTAATTGCAGTGGTGTAATAATCACTCCCTTCTTACCCAAAATGCTGGTTCATACAATGAGTTCACAAAATCTCAGGGTGGAGTTAAAGATCAGCCTTAAGGCAGCCAGGCTGAGAGGGCAGTAAATGGAGAGCTGGGCACCTGGTTGGAGGAGGCATGTCTGCTCTGATTCCCTCAAGGGAGGGGAATCCATGGGCCTGAGGATCTGTGGCCACTGGGAGGTGCTGTGGGCCCACAGATGTGGGGAGACAGTGCCCAGGAGGGCCCATCAAAGTGGAGTCTTGGCCACATGCCTTGTCAGGGAGGGGAACTGAGTCACTGGGAGGTCCCAGGACCCCTGGAGAGGCTGAGACTCCTCACCCACGGAGGTGGACACGGCCTTGACCACAGTCTGCACTGGATTGGAGAGTGAAGAAGGCAGGGGGTCACGTGCTGGGCAACTGGTGACAGGAGGGCCAGGCAGAGGAGAGCAGGTGGTTTTGGGCAAATGGGGAGGGACTGAGCCCACACCCACCATGTGCGGGCTGTGCAGACAGGGCATGGACAGAGTGACCAGGCCAGTGGAGTCCTGCAGGAGAGGAAGAGTAGGGCAGTGACATCAAAGCACTGACATCAGCAGCAAGTGCCCAGTCAGGGCCCAGGAGGTGACTAACTCAGACCCCCCTGAACCAGGAGCTGCCAGGGCCTGAGGCCGCCATGGGCTCCAGGCTCCTCTGCTGTGTGGCCTTTTGTTTCCTGGGATCAGGTGGGTCCTGGCACCCTGGGGAGCCTGGAAGGGGCTCAGCTGCCTGCTGACCAGCCTGCTCTGGTGATGTATTATGAGGAGTTACAGCATCTGAATGAAATCTACATGCAACTATCTACTGACTGACTGAGAGTTCAGACCACTTGGGAGCCCTGGATTCAGATGCTGCTCTTTCCACTCTGAGCTGCTCACTAGACATTTGTCATTGGGGTCCGGGGAGGGGCCTGGCCCTGTCACAGGTTGGCCCTGGGCCAGGAGGGCTGTGACATCTCACAACACTCCCTCACAGCCCTGCTCCCCTCTCAGCAGCACCCACAGCCCCAGCACCCTCAGTCTCCTGTCCCTGCCATGAGCGTCCCCCTCCTGTGCTGGGGGGTCTGGGGTCTTCTGCAGGCAGGTGAGTCCTGGGCGGCGCCCCTGTCCTGGGAGACACGGTCAAGTCCCCAGTGCTCAGCCTCTCCATTATATCTGGGCTCCATCAGCTTCATCTCGTCCTTCACAGGTGTGGTGAAGGCTGGGGTCTTTCAGGACCCCAGAATCCAGATCCTGAAGAAAGGACAGAGGGTGAACTTGAGTTGTGTCCAGGAGATGAACCACGACTCCATGTACTGGTATCGCCAGGACCCGGGACTCAGGCTGAGGCTGATCTATTACTCCATTACCTCCAAGAGTATAAACGAAGGTGACATCCCTAAAGGGTACAACGTGTCCAGACCAAATAAGAAGAACTTCCTGCTCAGGCTGGAGTCTGCCACCACCTCCCAGACAGCTGTGTACTTCTGTGCCACCAGCTATGCACAGCGCTGCAGGCTCACCTCCTCTCTGCACAAGAAGGCGGGACCAGCACCCCGGGACTCATCATGCCCTTTGCTGACCCAGAACAGGGAACCCTGGAGCCCTGAGGCCCTGGGCAGTGTGAACCCAGGTGACGAGTCACACCTCTCATGCCTCTGGGTCAGCTGTGTCCTTGGTTACTGGTGATCATGCTGGGCTCGCCAGGCCTCGCTGCTCCTTGGCTGAGATGGGAACTTTCTTTTGCTTCTCTGCTTGTCCTTGATGGGAGTTGATGTCCTCTGTGATCTGTTGACTCATCAAAGGTAGATCAGGGCTGAGGGACCAGCCTGCCCTCTGGGGGAGCCGGTGACGCTGCCCCTTATGGAGGCCCTGCCCCAGCCAGGAAAGGGAAACACCCAAACGTCTATAGGATGGAGGACGATCCCCGACTGTCCTCCCTCCTCTGACTACAGTCACCGCCCTGAGCCCCTCAGACTCTCAGGCCATATCTGCCATGTCCAGGGAGGCCCAAGGTCCGGCCTCCTGTGCCCGGGGTGCACATGCGCTCAGCCCACATCTCCCAACCCAGGCCTGGTCCCCACTGACCACGTCCCACCTGCGGGTTAAGTCAGGACTGACAGAATGTGCTCGTCTACTGACATAATAGCCTGGTACTCAGAGGGAGAGAGATTTTACTCTGAAAGACTCGGAAATAAATAGTGAACTATGACTTTTGCCCCCTGATCGTCTTCATTCACTGATCACGAGCAATTCTCTGATGCAAGGACTCTGCGTGGGGTTTCACACTCAGGTCCGGGCCTCCCAACCTGAGCTCCCGTGTGTGAATGCGAGTGAGCACGAGGCAGAGAGAGTGTGTTAAGAGCTTGCATAGAATGTTCTCTTGTGGGACGAGCATCTGTGCATTGGTCCGTATAAGCCTTACATCTCTGCTATGAAATTTATAATAGGAAATACATAAAATTTAAAACCTACTAATGTAATTCTGATAGTGAGATATATTTTCAGGTTAGGGATAGGATATAACAGAAAAGAACAAGGATGTCTAAAGGTTAAGGGAATTAAATGTAAGGACTCTAGTCCCAGCTGCATGTGTTAGTTTGGGCTGGCGCATTTTAAGGATTCATAAAGTCAGAAATTTTGTGTAAAATATATAAATCCTCTCTAAAACTGCAGTATCTAATACTCAGGAATAACTAGTAAAAAAAATGAGGAAATATTTAGATTTCATCAATCAGGAGGAGCTGTGGTTAGAACCAAGTTGTTTTTGTGGCTGGTCCATCACAGACTATTTGTCCATCATCACATACTAATTGCAAAGATATAAAAAATACTCCCTTCTTAATCGAAATGCTGGTTCATACACCGACTCACACAAGCTAAGGGTGGAATTGAAGGTCAAACTTAAATCGTCAGCCGGAGAGCAGTAAATGGAGAGCTGGGCACCTGGCTGGCTGAGGACTGTCTGCTCTGGCTCACACACCAGAGAGGAATCCATGGGCCTGAGGACCTGTGGCCACTGGGAGGTGCTGTAGGCTCAGGGATGTGGGTTACACCAGAGGGGGAGACAGTGTCTAGGAGGGCCCAGCTGAAGGGGAGTCTTGGCCACATGCCTTGTCAGGGAGGAGGACTGAGTCGCTGGAAGGTCCCAGAACACCTGGAGCCACAGAGACTCCCCTGTCCAGTATAGTAGATGTGGGCCTGGACCTCAGCCTGCTCCAAGGAGGCAGCTCCCTGCACCTGCACAGGAAGTGGAGGTTAAGGAGTTGGGGGACAAGGGAAGGGAAACTAGCAGCAGGCAGGACAGGCAGAGGAAAAGGTGTGCTTGTGGGCATATGGGGAGGGGCTGAGCCCACAACCACCCACGTGTGGGTTGTGCAGACAGGAATGGACAGAGAGTGTCCATCCTTGGGTCCTGTTAAAGGAGCAGCCAGCCAGGGCATTCCTGCAGGGAGAGGAACAGCAGGGCAGTGACGTCTCAGCAGTGACATCAGCGGCAAGTGCCCAGTCAGGGCCCTGGAGGTGACAAACTCAGACCCCCCTGAGCCAGGAGCTGCGAGGACCTGAGGCCGCCATGGGTTCCAGTCTCCTCTGCTGTGTGGCTCTTTGTCTCCTGGGAGCAGGTGGTTCCTGGCATCCTGGGGAGACCAGGAGGGCTCAGCTGCCTGCTGACCAGCCTGCCCTGGTGATGGCTGAGCAGAGGCTTCCTCTGGCTCTGCCTCAGCTCCTGTGTGTCTCCTCCCACAGGCCCAGTGGACTCTGAAGTCACGCAGAACCCTAAGCATCTGGCCACAGCGAGAGGACATAACGTGACCCTGAGTTTTTCCTATGAGACTGGACATAAGTCTATATACTTGTACCAGCAGGCCCCGGGCCAGGGCCCCAGGTTCCTGGTTCAGTATTACAATGGGAAACAGCAAGAAAAAGGAAGTCTCCCTCAATGATTCACAGTTGAGCAGTTCAAGACCATCGCTCTGAGCTCACCCTGATGCCCGTGGAGCTGGGGACCGCTGTATCTCTGTGCCAACAGCTGGGCACAGCCCCGCAGGAGCAGCAGCCCAGAGCACAAACACCCTCCTGTCCAGCTCAGGAGTGAGGGGGAGGGCGGGCGCTGCAGCAGGAGATTCAGCCCTGGAGGAAAGACACAGAAATCACTCATTATAACTTTGATTATTTATTCCCCAGCAGGCAGTGTCCTAAACAGGCTACTCCTGTGACTCTGGCTTTACGGCTCCTTCCAGTCCTGGGTTTGCTGACTGCCCCAGATCCAGGACAGGAGCTGGGCCCAGGGACTGGACACAACCTCAGGGCCCTCAGATAAGAAACACAAGGTCAGGCAACAGGAACAGCTGCATGATCTGTGGGCCCCAGGCTCAAACCTGATTCACAACATGACGGGTACGGCCACAGATCTGGGTCAGCGCAGGCCCTCTAAGGAGAAGATCTGGCCCCAGAGCACCTGTGAGCCCCACTTCTGCATCACTCAGTGCCAGTAGTTCCCATGAGGAGTCATTCCTGTGGCATGGGATGACCCAAGGAAAAAAGAACATTTCCCTTCACCCTGGAGTCACCCTCCCCGGCTGTGCTCCTGGGGTCCTGTGAGCTCTGAGCACCCACTGTCTCCCCAGGGATGGGCAGTGACATGTGAGGTGTGTCTGCTGCTGCTGCCCTTCCACACACGGGGCTGGGCTCCGGGCAGGGCAGTCTCCAGCTGCCCTGGTCAGTGTCCATGTCAGGGACTTGACAAGAAACAGAGAAAAGGGTGTTGTCATGAAATGCTAATGGCCCCGCCCTGAGCTGTGGGATCAGACAGCAGGGGAATCCCTCCCAGGGGAAGGTCAGTGGCAGGGTGAGTCTCTCTTGATATTCAGAGTATTGGGAGCATCTGGGACAAAGTTCATAAAAATTACCAGGATAAGATCAGGATGTTTTCTAAAGGTGAATTTACATATAGAGTCAGTTTGTTGTGATGCATCACACCATGGAAGTGAAATCTACTTGAAGCTGTAAGCTGACTGATGGGGAGTTCATACACTTCTGAGACTGCATGGATTCAAATGAATATCCTCCCATCAGAGCTGCTCACTGGACATTTGTCACAGGAGCCAGGGAAGGGGCGTGGCCCTGTCACCAGTTGGCCCTGGGCCAGGAGGGCTGTGACATCTCACAACACTCCCTCACAGCCTCACTCCCTTCTCAGCACCCACATCACCCCAGCCCACTCAGTCTCCTGTCCCTGCCATGAGTGTCCCCCTCCTATGCTGGGGAGTCTGGGGTCTCCTGCAGGCAGGTGAGTCCTGGGCGGGGCTCCTCTCCTGGGGGACACGGTCAAGGCCCCAGTGCTCAGCCTCTCCATTATATCTGGGCTCCATCAGCTTCATCTCCTTGTGCACAGGTGTGGTGAAGGCTGGGGTCTCTCAAAACCCTAGATTCCAGATCCTGATGAAAACACTGCGTTGGAACCTGAGTTGTGTCCAGGATATGAAACACGACTACATGTACTGGTATCGCCAGGACCCAGGATTCAGGCTGAGGCTGATCTATTACTCCCTTGATGTCAATAATACAGACAGAGGAGACATCCACCATGGGTACATCGTCTCCAGACCAAGTACGGAGAACTTCCTGCTCACGCTGGAGTCTGCCACCCCCAACCAGACATCTGTGTACTTCTGTGCCAGCAGTGATGCACAGTGCTGCAGGCTCACCTCCTCTCTGCACAAGAAGGCAGAGGGGTCTGGACCCTGGGTCTCAGCAGAGCCCTTTGCAAACTTTTAGCTCAGGAACCCTGGAGCACTTGGATTGCTGCAGGTGGTGTTTTCCTGGGGAGGGAGTCGCATGCACAGCAGTCTCAGTTGTCCTGACCTGACTCAGAGCCTTGGGGCCAATGCCCCTGTGGCTGCTGATTTTATCTTGCACAGCTCCCCTGGCCTCTCTGCCCCAGCCCCCCTCCTCCCTCACTTGTGTCCCTTCTCATCTCAGAGACTGGGTCTGTTTCCCTGCCTGGACATGGACCCTTCCTTCCAGAGGAGGCTCACTCCTGCTGTGGGCTGTGACCCCACACCTGCTCCCCAGGAGCTCTCCCTCCCCCACTGTGGAGCTCAGCCTCCTTCTCATAAACCTCCTGCTTGCCTGTGCCCTTAGTGGGTGAATTTAGGCTCGATGGAGTTTCTAGTACCTGTACGGGTTTGATTCTCAAGTAGATGTTAACCCCATGAAGGTAAATGCTCTGACTCTGTGCTCATTACAATGTGCTTTACAGGGATCCCATCCAGAGAGAATGGTGAGCGAGATGGGGGCGTGAATGAAGGAATGAATGAATGAATGAATGAAAAGCACTGACTGGCCGGGGAAGTGGTCACAGAAGTGAGCAGGCCTCTCATTACCTGCCTGATCATATGATATAAATGAACCACATAATGGGGGGCATATACAGAGTCTTTAATAAATGGTGCTGGGGAAGCCAGAAGGTCACACCAAAAAGAATGAATTTGGATCACTCTAATTCCATACACAAAAATGAACTCCAAATGCATTAAAAGTTAGATATATGACCTGCCACAATTAAACATAGCGAGGAAAACATGAGTGGTATGTGCCATCTTATCATGGAACATCATATCATTGACATCAATGGCCTTCAATCTCTTGGGGCAGAAAATCCTGGACACAGACATGGAACCGGCTCCCACCCAGGTCAAGGTCTGAGACATGGTTACAGCATCAGGGGCCCCCTCAGTTTCTGCTTCAGTGTCTGTCCTTCATGCCAGCCCTGGGGGTGCTGCCTCGGCCAGACACGGGCCCTGTGGTTTTACCCTGGACTGAATGTCAGGAGACTCAGATTAGAAACAGGAATCATGTGAGCCCAGGCCAGTGTCCCGGGTCAGTGACTTACAGGAAACAGCAAAATGAGTGTGAACTGCTGGAGCTCCTGCCCTGGGGCTTGGGACCAGACAGCAGGGGACTCTGGGGGTGGAAGGACAGGAAGGATGGGCCAGACTTAAATTTCAAACACAATATTGGGAGCAGCTGGGGCAGAGGATCATAAAAACCCCAGGATCACATCAGGATTTTCCTACAAGAGAAACTACAGACCATCTAGATGAGAATGTCAGTGTACTGTGAAGAGTTACAGCATAGGAAGGAAATCTACATGCAGCTATCAACTGACTGACGGAGAGTTCAGACCACTCCTGAGCCCTGGATGCTGCTCCTCCCTCTCTGAGCTGCTCTGGACATTTGTCATTGAGCCTGGGGAGGGGCGTGGCCCTGTCACAGGCTGGCCCTGGGCCAGGAGGGCTGTGACATCTCACAACACTCCCTCACAGCCCCGCTCCCCTCTCAGCAGCATCCACAGCCCCAGCACCCTCAGTCTCCTGTCCCTGCCATGAGCGTCCCCCTCCTGTGCTGGGGGGTCTGGGGTCTCCTGCAGGCAGGTGAGTGCTGGGCGGGGCCCCGGTCCTAGGGGACAAGGTCAAGGCCTCAGTGCTCAGCCTCTCCGTTGTGTCTGCGGCTCCATCAGCTTCATCTCCTTGTGCACAGGTGTGGTGAAGGCTGGGGTCTCTCAGAGCCCCAGATTCCAGATCCTGAAGACTGGACAGAGCAGGAACCTGAGTTGTGTCGAGGATATGAGGCACAACTCCATGTACTGGTATCGCCAGGACCCAGGACTCGGGCTCAGGCTGATCTATTACTCATATACTTTTGGATCCATAGACAAAGGGGACTTCCCCGATAGGTATAATGCCTCCAGACCAAATACGGGGAACTTCCTGCTCACGCTGGATTCTGCCTCCCCCTCCCAGACATCTGTGTACTTCTGTGCCAGCAGTGAAGCACAGTGCTGCAGGCTCACCACCTCTCTGCACAAGAAGGGAGGGCCCTGCACCCTGGGAAACAGCAGAGCCCTTTGCAGACTCTGAGCTCAGGGAAGCCTGCAGTAAAGGGGTCCTGCAGGAGGTGTGAACCCAGTTGAGTGAGTCACACCTGTCCCAGGGGTATGGTCACCCAACAGTGGTACTTGAATCATATTTCCAGACCCTAACTAGGAAATTTCTCATCAAGGGGGCACAGACTCCCCCCTAGGCAGTGGGGGGCTCTGTGTCTTCATGAGCTTCTGTAATGCTAGAGTAGCCTGGACACCAGGAGCTCTGGTCAGAGCGAGGGGTCAGTGGAGACAGCAGGATGAGACCTCGTCTCAGACATACCCTTCGCTCAGTTCTTGGCCTTTTGGACTCTAGCAGAGAAATCGCCCTCAGGGACAGTCTTCCATCTCAAGCTGATCAAAAGGAGCTGAGTTTGGAAACATGGTTATCATGGCCTGCATCTCTGCACGGTGTTTTCCACCATCACATCCTAATTGCAGTGGTGTAATAATCACTCCCTTCTTAACCAAAATGCTGGTTCATACAATGAGTTCACAAAATCTCAGGATGGAGTTAAAGATCAGCCTTAAGGCAGCCAGGCTGAGAGGGCAGTAAACAGAGAGCTGGGGACCTGGCTGGTGCAGAACTGTCTGCTCTGGCTTACTCACACACCAGAGAGGAATACATGGACCTGAGGACCTGTGGCCACTGGGAGGTTCTGTGGGCTCAGGAATGTGGGTTACACCAGAGGGGGAGACATTGCCCAGGATGGCCCAGCTGAAGGGGAGTCTTGGGCACATGCCTTGTCAGTGACTCAGGGGACTGAGTCACTAGAGGGTCCCAGAACACCTGGAGACAGAGAGACTCCACTGTCTAGGGTAGTAGATGTGGGCCTGGACCTCAGCCTGCTCCAAGGAGGCAGCTCCCTGCACCTGCACAGGAAGTGGAGGTTAAGGAGTTGGGGGACAAGGGAAGGGAAACTAGCAGCAGGCAGGACAGGCAGATAAGAAGGGGAGTGTGTGGGCATATGGGGAGGGCTGAGCCCACACCCACCCACATGCGGGCTGTGCAGACAGGAATGGACAGAGAGTGACCAGCCTTGGGTCCTGTTAAAGGTGCAGCAGGCCAGGGGAGTCCTGCAGGGAGAGGAACTTCAGGGCAGTGACATCACAGCAGTGACATCAGCGGCAAGTGCCCAGTCAGGGCCAGGAGGTGACTAACTCAGACCCCCCTGAGCCAGGAGCTGCCAGGGCCTGAGGCTGCCATGGACTCCAGGATCCTCTGCTCTGTGGCCCTTTGTCTCCTGGGAGCAGGTGGGTCCTGGCACCCTGGGGAGCCCGGGAGGAGCTCAGCTGCCTGGTGACCAGCCTGCCCTGGTGATGGCTGAGCAGAGGCTTCCCCTGGCTCTGCCTCAGCTCCTGTGTGTCTCCTCCCACAGGCCCAGTGGACTCTGAAGTCATGCAGAACCCTAAGCATCTGGTCACAGTGAGAGGACGGAACGTGACCCTGACATGTTCCTATGAGACTGGACACGAGTCTGTGTACTGGTACCAGCAGGCCCTGGACCAGGGCCCCGAGTTCCTGGTTCAATATTATGATGGGAAACAGCAAGATAAAGGAAGTCTCCCTCAACGATTCACAGTTAAGCAGTTCAAGACCATCGCTCTGAGTTCACCATGATGCCCGTGGAGCTGAGGGACGCGGGCCTATATTTTTGTGCCAATAGCTTGGCACAGCCCCGCAGGAGAAGCAGCCCAGAGCACAAAATCCCTCCTGCCCAGCTCAGGAGTGAGGGTGAGGGCGGGGGCTGCAGCAGGAGGCTCAGCGCTGGGGAAAGACGCAAAAATCACTCATCATAACTTTGATTATTTGTACTCCTGCAGGAAGTGTCCTGAACAGGCTACTCCGGTAACTCTGGCTTCATGGTTCCTTCCAGCCCAGGGTTTGCTGACTGCCCTAGACCCAGGACAGGAGCTGGACCCAGGGACCAGACACAGCCTCAGGGCCCTCCAATGAGAAACACAATGTCAGGCCGCATGAACAGCTGCATGATCGGTGGTCCCAGGCTCAAACCTGATTCACAACATGAAGGTCATGGCCACATCTGGGCTGGCGCAGGCCATCTAAGGAGGGGATCTGGCCCCAGAGCCCCTGTGAGTCCCACTTTTGCATCACTCAGTGCCAGTAGTTCTCCATGAAGAGACATCCCCATGGCATGGGATGACCCAATGAAAAGAGAACATTTCCCTTCACCCTGGAGTCACCCTCCCCGGCTGTGCTCCTGGGGTCCTGTGAGCTCTGAGCACCCACTGTCTCCCCAGGGATGGGCAGTGACATTTGAGGTTTGTCTGCTGCTGCTGCCCCTCCACACATGGGGCTGGGCTCCGGGGCAGGACAGTCTCCAGCTGCCCTTGTCAGTGTCCATGTCAGGGACTTGACAAGAAACAGAGAAAAGGGTGTTGTAAAGAAATGCTAATGGCCCTGCCCTGACCTGTGGGATCAGACAGCAGGGGAATCCCTCCCAGGGGAAGGTCAGTGACAGGATGAGCCTCACTTGATCTTCAAACAGAATATTGAGACAAAGTTCATAAAAATTACCAGGATAAGATCAGGATTCTTTCTAAAGGTGAATTTACATGAATAGAGTCAGTTTGTTGTGATGCATCACACCATGGAAGTGAAATCTACTTGAAGCTGTAAACTGACTGATGGAGAGTTCAGACCCTTGTGAGACTGCATGGATTCAAATGATGCTCCTTCCACTCTGAGCTGCTCACTGGACATTTGTCAGTGGAGCCCAGAGAGGGGCGTGGCCCTATCACAGGTTGGCCCTGGGCCAGGAGGGCTGTGACATCTCACAACACTCCCTGCACAACCTCACTCCCTTCACAGCACCCACAGCCCCAGCACCCTCAGTCTCCTGGCCCTGCCATGAGTGTCCCCCTCCTGTGCTGGGGGGTCTGGAGTCTCCTGCAGGCAGGTGAGTCCTGGGCAGTTCCCCTGTCCTGGGGGACATGGTCAAGGCCTCAGTGCTCAGCCTCTCCATTGTGTCTGCGGCTCCATCAGCTTCATCTCCTTGTGCACAGGTGTGGTGAAGGCTGGGGTCTCTCAGAGCCCCAGATTCCAGATCCTGATGAAAACACAGCGTGGGAACCTGAGTTGTGACCAGGATATGAGCCACGACTACATGTACTGGTATCGCCAGGACCCAGGATTCGGGCTGAGGCTGATCTATTACTCCCTTGACGTCAATAATACAGACAAAGGAGACATCCACAATGGGTACATCGTCTCCAGACCAAGTACAGGGAACTTCCTGCTCACGCTGGAGTCTGCCACCCCCAACCAGACATCTGTGTACTTCTGTGCCAGCAGAGATGCACAGTGCTGCAGGCTCAGCTCCTCTCTGCACAAGAAGGCAGAGGGGCCTGGACCCTAGGTCTCAGCAGAGCCCTTTGCAAACTTTTAGCTCAGGAACCCTGGAGCACTTGGATTGCTGCAGGTGGTGTTTTCCTGGGGAGGGAGTCGCATGCACAGCAGTCTCAGTTGTCCTGACCTGACTCAGAGCCTTGGGGCCAATGCCCCTGTGGCTGCTGATTTTATCTTGCACAGCTCCCCTGGCCTCTCTGCCCCAGCCCCCATCCTCCCTCACTTGTGTCCCTTCTCATCTCAGAGACTGGGTCTGTTTCCCTGCCTGGACATGGACCCTTCCTTCCAGAGGAGGCTCACTCCTGCTGTGGGCTGTGACCCCACACCTGCTCCCCAGGAGCTCTCCCTCCCCCACTGTGGAGCTCAGCCTCCTTCTCATAAACCCTCCTGCTTGCCTGTGCCCTTAGTGGGTGAATTTAGGTTCGATGGAGTTTCTAGTACCTGTACGGGTTTGATTCTCAAGTAGATGTTAACCCCATGAAGGTAAATGCTCTGACTCTGCGCTCATTACAATGTGCTTTACAGGGATCCCATCCAGAGAGAATGGTGAGCGAGATGGGGGCGTGAATGATGGAATGAATGAATGAAAAGCACTGACTCGATGGGGAAGTGGTCACAGAAGTGAGCAGGCCCCTCATTCCTTGCCTGATCATATGATACATATGAACCATATAATGGGGGGGCATATACAGAGTCTTTAATAAATGGCGATGGAGAAACCAGAAGGTCACACCAAAAAGAATGAATTTGGATCACTCTAATTCCATAAAAAATGAACTCCAAAAGCATGAAAAGTTAGATATATAACCTGCCACAATTAAACATAGTGAGGAAAACATGAGTGGTATGCGCCATCATATCACAGAACATCATATGATTGACATCAATCACAAACATGTTTCTGGGCCCTCAGACCCTTTAGTAAGGGAAAGAAAAGTAAAAATATACCACTGGGCTCTCACAAGTTAAAAGGCTTTTACATGGAGAAAAAATGCATGCGATTAAAAAGACTTGCAACTGAGTGGAGCGAATATCCACAAAAGCCATGATTGACAAGAGGCTAATAAATGATAGAAAAGAGATTATATAAGAACATGTACAGTTCAACAATAGAAAATCAAGCAACTATTTAATAAATACGCCGCAAGAAGGAGAAAGATCAACACAGGACGGTGTCACAAACGTGTAGAACATCGAGAAATGAAACAGGCTCAGAAGAAGACAAACTTTAAAACCAACCTGCAGCTGACCATAGACTGAGGTATGCAGAGCGGGAGGGGGCGGGGCAGGGAAGCAGGTGGGGGGCAGAGGACACAGAGGACTATGGGGTGCTGAGGTGTTTTGAATGACAAGGTCGAGGCATGAATCCAAGGGGTGGGGAGGATGGCCAGGGCATCAAGGGGCAGAGGTGGTGGGAATCTGGACAGAAGGAGAGAACAGGAAAATGCCAGAACTAAGTAGTAAACTGACAGTGTGGGAGCCCTCTAGACTTACGACTGAACTGTGATGCTCGGACTTCACGTCCTGGTGGTTGTCTTTTTTTTTTTTTTTTTTAAAGATTTATTTATTTATACAAGCACTGGGTACAGTCAGAAGTGCGGGAGGGTGAGAGAATTCACCAGAGCCAG